CTTCTAGACTTTTTACAACAGTGGAAAATCCTGGGATTCTTACTGTCCTTAGACATATATAAAGCCTTTGATTCTCTATCCTGGGAATATCTGTGGTTTGTGCTGTCTCGTTGGGGTTTTGGTGATTCTATTCTCTCAATATTACTTTGGCCTCAGATTTGGTTTCGCGCCTACAATCCCACTTCCCTTACAAATGGGCTTCCTCTTCTCTTGAATACTTAGGCATTCGCTTGACCCCCACCTATGACTCGTTTGCTGCAAATTATTATCCATTGCTTCATTCTGTGTCCTCTCTTATGCACTCCTGGCAATTTCTACAACTGTCTTGGATAGGACGGGTTAATTCAGTGAAAATGACCATCTTTCCGAAATTGTTATACTATTTTCGCACCCTCCCAGTGCGGGTTCCTCCCCATTTCCTTCGGTTGATTCAGGCGAAGATTATATATTTTATCTGGGCCGATAAGCGCCCCAGAGTCTCCAGAAATACGCTTTTTGTTGATATATTCCAGGGTGGTCTTGGGGTGACTAATGTAATGAAGTATTATCAGGCAAGCCAGATTGCCCCGCTGTCTATGTTGCACGCTTCCTCTGATGTTCCTCTCTGGGTCCTGCTGGAACAACCCAATTGTGCCCCTATTGCAACATTGACGCTTCTATGGCTTCCCCCTGCCCTACGCTCTATGACACTCAGTCCGATTTTGCTTCATAGTCTACAAGTGTGGGACTCGGTACGCTACTCCAATGGCCTGATGTCACCTTTCCTACCTTTGCTCCCAATTGTTAACAACCCTCTTTTCCCACCAGATTTAGATCAACCAAGGGCGTTTTTTTGGTGGGTGGCCGGTGTACCACTATTTGACTTCTCGGTCCTTCCCCACCTGGAATACTCTTTGGGAGTCATGGGATGTCCCTCCGGCGGAATTTTTTTCGTTACCTTCAATTGCGGCATTGGCTGACCTCACTGCAGGGCACTTCCACTTTCCCATATTGGAAATCTGCCTTTGAACAGCTTTGCCAACAGCGCCCAGGTGCCCCGGGCCTTATTTCCCTTCTTTATGCAGCTTTGAACAGATGCTCGATGCATACTTCTCTCTCATATGTTGCTCAATGAGAGAGCGACCTGGGGGCAATCATGGATCTGGAGGACTGGAATAGGGCCTGGTCGTTTATAGCTAAATATTCCTTTAATACGACCAAGCTGGAGGTGGCATACAAAGTATTGTTCCGGCTTGCTTGGCCCAGGCAAACCCTTGCTGCAGTGATCGATGCTTTCGGGGTTGTGGCTATCGTGGTGATGTATTGCATATCTGGTGGTCATGCCCAAGACTGATTGGTTTTGTGTGTTTGGCCTCCTTTTCACCTTGTTCCATCTCCCCATACGCCAGGATACTCGGTACGCTTTGCTTCATTGTCCCATACCGGGCCTCTTGGCTCACCAGCAGAAGCTGGCTTCCTATTTATTTTTGCCGGCCACTAGAACAATTGCTCAGGCATGGAAGTGCCAGTTTGTCTTTCTTCAGGGGATGCAGGACCGTATGACCATTATGATGCTTAATGAACAGATATCGAGTATTTGTAACGATTCCCAACAGAAATTTTTGAAAATATGGGAGCCGTGGTTGCAATATGCCCTTCCCACGCTCCCCCAGCTAGTCTGGGGTTGTGATGTTGCTTGGTACTGGCATTACCGAACCCCTGCTCATGGTCTTGTCATCTTTTTCCTTTTGTACTCTTCCTTCCTTTTCTATGTCTGTTTGTTTTTGGTGTGGTGGTGGATAGCTGCCTTTGGTTTGGGTTACTGTCGATGTTATACCAATGTTTTTTTGTCATTTATGTGCCATTGATAGCCCCTGTGTGGTGTTAGAGCACTGTTTTCTTTATTTTTTTTTTATGTGCAATTGATGGCCTCTGTGTGGGCGTGTCTTGTTGCTCCTGTTTTTTTAACTGTTTATAAACTAATACAAATCATTGAAAATACAAAACTCACCAAGAACTACGCCTATCTTCCCTAAAACGATATGGCGATGCTGACGGCCATGGTCCAATTCATACCAATTGGCAGCATACATCAGGGGCTCAGCCAGCCACTGAGGGCTCCCTATACCATCCCCTCCTGAGGCAACACAGGGGAGGACTCAAAGCTTGACTAAATATAAGTAAAGGAGGATTTCTGCTAGTATCTGGGATAGTTTATCCTCCAGAGGAGAAGGAACCTTGGGGAGAACCGAGAAGATAATGGGGAAGGAAGGTCCTACAACTATGATACTAATAAAAGCAGTCTAGAAAATACATAGATAAGCAGCCCTTCTAAGTCCACTGTCCCTAGAATCACTGGGGAGCACATACTAGGAGACTCCTGCAACTCGCACAAAGGCCTGAAGCAAAAATAAACCATTATGATGTTCCTTTTAGGCCGGAGGAAGCACAAATACTGAGGACACTAGGTGACTCTGCTCTTTGTATTTGATTGTGGATGATGTGTTTCTGGTTTTAGGTCGTCGGAGCATCTCTCATGTGCTCTCCTGAAAGATGATTTGGGAAATAAAAGTTAAGCATACATCCAGTTAGGCCTATTAGGCCTGATTAAAACTGTCCTGCTACTAGCCACTTTTCCACTGCTGTATCCTCTGCAGTGTCTTAATTCTTGTAGTGAAGCTCCAGTCTTGTGCTCTTTGGCGCTAGTAAATTTAGACCTAGCTTTTAAAATTGTTCTGCTGTTGGCCAATTTTACACTGCTGTGTCATTTACAGTCTCTTAATTCGTGTAATAAAACACCTGCCTGTTCTCCGGTATGTTTTGGCTAGTTCTCCTTCATTAAAGATGACCTTTTGCTGACCAACTTTACATTACAGTATCATCTGCGGTCTCTTAACCACTTGCCTACCGGGCACTTTTCATTTTCAGCTTCCAGGACTGTTGTACTTTGAATGACAATTTCGCAGTCATGCAACACTGTACCCAAAGTAAATTTTTATAATTTTTTTGAGACCAATAGAGCTTTCTTTTGGTTGTATTTAATCACCACTGGAGTTTTTATTTTTTGCTAAACAAAGACCAAAAATTAAAAAAAAAAAAAGTTTCTTAGTTTGTTAAAAAGGTTTGTAAAGAAGTGATTTTTCTCCTTCACGGATGTGCACTGACAGGCAGCACTGATGGGGAGGCACTGATAGGCAGCACTAACAGGCAGTACAGTGGCTAAATGGTTAGCACTTCCGCCTGGCAGTACTAGGGTCGTTGGTTCGAATCTCAACCACGACACCACCTGCCTGGAGTTTGCATGTTCTCCCTGTGCCTGCGTGGGTTTCCTCCGGGTATTCCGGTTTCCTCCCACACTCCAAAGACATGCTGGTAGGTTAATTGAATACTGTCTAAATTGGCCCTAGTATGTGTATGTATGAATGTGAGTTAGGGACCTTAGATTGTACACCCCTTGAGGGTTAGGGACTGACCCTAAACTGCGTAAATTGACAGCGCTATATAAGCACCTGAAATAAATAAATAAATAATAACTGAAAGCCAGTACATATGGGCACTGATAGCCAGCACAGATGAGCACTATTAGTCACACTGATGGGGATACACTGATCATCGGTGCCCTGATGATCAGTGTACAGGTCTCCCTGAGAAACGTCGCTTACCGGCTCTCCTCTCCTCACGCTCTGTCAGCTCTGACTGCCGGTATGCGGCATTTGCTGTTTACATTTGATCACCTGTGTTGGACACAGCTGGCCACATGTAAAAGGCGGCTCTGCTTGGCCCCCTACTTGGACACATGATCAGCTGTGTCCGAAAATCCATGGACGTCCTCCCAGAACTAGCCGACCACACTGTAGCCGTCTTTTGGCTATAGCACGGTTGAGAAATGTTTAATTGTGAACTTGACAGAAATTGGCCAGTTGCAGGACAGTCTTGCATCAGTGAGAACAAAGACAGCCACAGCAAACTACTGGCCAAATTCTTACTACCTTGTAAAAACCACTTTTAAAATGCCTTTGTTTCAAACTGAAATAAATGAGATTGGCGTGCCGCTACCATATGCAAGCCAATTGAAGAAAAAAATCAATTCCATAGCCAAATATGCACTGCCAGTGTTTGCTGTTGCGAAGAGTGTCTGAAAAATGTAACTCCGTACATAGCTTCAAACCCAGACAGATTCCCAGAAAGCTACTGACCATCTTATTAGAAATATGGCCTGTTATATTAGGGCAAAATCTGGAAAGTGTAATTAATAACTGGAATTAGTCTTCTAAAGAAATCATCTTTGAGGGGGGCTGATTCAAGGCGATAAGTTAAATTGTTTAAAACAGGTTGGTTACTTTCCTTACCTCAACTTTTAAAACACAAGACTTTTCCTTAAAGGATAACTCTACTTTAAAATTCCTTGGCCATTTTTAATATATCTAGGAATATATTTAATACATCTAGGGATACAAAGCAGCTTTGCAAATAGAACCCCTTACCTCTGTCTTTTACTTGTGCTTGGAGAGGCTCAAGTTGTTGTAAACGTTTCAATGTTTGCATATAGGAAGTCTGCATCTGCTCATCAACTACAGTCAAGGACTTAGGAAAAGTAAGGAATCTTCTTTAAACACCCATTTGATTTAATAGAGTTGATAGCCTAAAGAAGTGGAGGCTGTTTCCTTAGCAAAGTAAATGTTATCTTTGCAAGTGTATGTTTACTTTGCAGATTGAATATAAAGCTGTTTTCACCATACACATGTACAAGAAAAACCCCTATTTAAATGTTTTGTGCAGTCGGTGCTATAGCCAAAGTGACAAAACTTGTATTCTGTCAGTTTTTTACAGAAATGTCCATTTTGTCTATACAAAACAAGCAGAATGCAGCTGTCATTTTCCCAGCAATGGTTTTAAAATCACAGAAAATCTGATTGACTTATGTGTGAACAATCACATTTTTATAAATCTGTAGGTCAGGGAATGGGTCTAGATGTCAGCAAGATAGGCAGGTCTCGATAATAACTAAAATAAAAACTTACTTTGAGATGTAATTCTTCTGCATCAGGAAAGCAGATATGCCACAAAAGTTCCACAGAATGTGGTGTAATGCCCAATCGAGTAGGACATCCATTGACACATAAAAATAATGGTTCCACATGGAGTCAAAACGAGGTTTCCCATCGCCTAAATGACTAAGACTCCATGGCCTATGGGTTAAAGCCGTGACTACATTTATGTCTGCTTGCCTCATCTGAAAATTAAGCAAAGATCACATTTGATTATTTTAGCTACTGAATGAGAACATGGCATAATCTCACACAGGGCATAACCAAACAAAGGCAGATCTCTTGATACAACAGTGTTGAATCATACATAGCTTTATCAGCTTTTTTTTTTTTTAATAAGCACAGAGGAAATGATCACCAACTGTGTTAGAAACATTTCTCCATGCTATTACCCAGTTCAGCTCCAAAGAGTGAACCTTTAACCACTTGCCTACCGGGCACTTATACCCCCTTCTTTACCAGGCCAATTTTCAGCTTTCAGCGCTGTCGCACTTTGATTGACAATTGCGCGGTCATGCAAGATTGTACCCATATGAAATTTTTATCATTTTTTTCTCACAAATAGAGCTTTCTTTTGGTGATATTTAATCGCCGCTGGGTGCTTTACTTTTTGCGCTATAAACAAAAAAATTGCAAAAAATTTGAAAAAAAAAAAGTTTCTTTGTTTCTATTATAAAATTTTTCAAACAGGTAATTTTTCTCCTTCACTGATGTGCGTTGATGAGGCAGCACTGATAGGCGGCACTAATGAGGTGGCACGGATAGGCGGCACTAATGAGGTGGCACGGATAGGCGACACTGATGATGGGTACTGATAGACAGCACTGATAGGTGGCACTGACTGGCATCATTGCTGGGCACTGACTGGTGGCACTGCTGGGCACTGACTGGCACAACCGCTGGGCACTGACTGGTGCCACTGACTGGCAGCACTGCTGGGTTGCACTGCTGGGCACAGGTAGGTGGCACTTCTGGGCACACTTGTGTGACACTGCTGGGTGACACAAGTGGGTGCACTGCTGGGCACAGGTGGATGCACTGCTGGGCACAGGTGGGCGGAGCTAGTGGGCGCACTGCTGGGCACAGGTGGGCGGAGTTGGTGGGCGCACTGCTGGGCACCGATCACCAGGGCACTGATGATCGGTGCCAATCCCTGCTCTAACAACTGCCGGTTCTCGGCAGTACTATCCTCAAGATCTGACAGCGTGAGGAAAGTGCAGCCGAGAACCGGCAATTGCATTTCCCGGTGATCAGCATGTCATTGGACGCGGCTGATCTCGTGGTAAAAGGCCGTTGTGATTGGCCTTTTACAACATCACGTGATCAGCTGTGTCCATAGGACACAGCGATCACGGAGATCGCCGGGTGCGCGCGAGCGCGTTAAGGGGGGACGTCATATGACGCCCACCCAGAACTGGCCGGCCGCAGTGCAGCCGTCATTTGGCTATCTGCCGTTGGAAGTAGTTAATCACAAGCTGATGGCTGCAGTAGCAGCCATCAGCATGTGTGTTTTTCGTTCAGCCCACTCACTGCCAGCTAGAAAGCGATGCAGCACCTCCATGGCTGCTGATCACTTTCACAGGCAGCATGGAAATTTTATAATTAATTTATTTATATTTTCAGAAAATATATAATGTTCTGGGGGTTGAAGTCATTTTTACATGTATGCACAAATTTAAAAAAAAATTGTTCTGGAGCCAAGCTTGTTATAAGTTTCCAAAGTTTAAAAACAGTTGTCATCAATATAAACTTATATAACAATATAGGTGGAACTGCAGATTAATTCTAAAACAGTGAACTCCTGGTCCTAAATAAACTGGGTCAACATGGCTAATGGGGACCTTTTTGTTTTTACCCAGAAAGATTTGGGGATCCTTATTTAAAAGCAACATAAAGGTTTCCTACTAACCTGCTGAAGGCAGGTGGAGACACAAACATGTATATATGTAAACACCAATCATAGTGTATCTCGCTGTAAATAAACTCATAGAACCTACATCCTAATCAATGCTTGGAATTCCATAAACATGAAAATAATGCATCGAGAGGCCTATGGTAATTTCAATTAAATGACAATTCAAACATTAACCACCAACCTCCAGAGGATTTACACCCCCCCCCCCCCCCCCCCCTGACCAGGCCTCTTTTGCAACTCGGCGCTGCACTAATTCAACTGATAATTGCGCGGTCATGCAATGCTGCACCTAAACGAAATTTACTTCCTTTTCACACAAATAGATCTTTCTTTCAGTGGTATTTGATCACCTGTGCGCTTTTTAGTTTTCACGCTATAAACAAAAGAAGACCAACAATTTTAAAGAAAAACAATATTTTTTACTTTCCGCTATAAAAAATATATAGTAAACTCAAAGTTAGTTATAAATTTAGGCCAAAATGTATTCTGCTACATGTTTTTGGTAAAAAAAAATCCCAATAAGTGTATATTGATTGCTTTGTGTGAAAGTTATAGCGTTTACAAACTATGGTATAGATACTGCAATTTACGCAATTTTTTTTGCTATATAGCGCTGCGCTAGTTTAACGGACAATTGCGCAGTCATGCAATACGGTACATAAATGAAATTTATGTCCTTTTTTCAGACAAATAGAGCTTTCTTTTTGCGGTATTTGATCACCTGTGCACTTTTTTATTTTTGGCGCTATAAGCAGAAAAGGTTTTGACGAAAAATTTTTTTTTTGAAAAAACAATATTTTCTCATTCCGGTAATAAAAAATATCCAAAAAAAAAACCCTAAAATTTTGGCATAAATTTAGGCCAAAATGTATTCTGCTACATGCTTTTGGTTAAAAAAATCCCAGTAAATGTATATTTATTGCTTTGTGTGAAAGTTATAGCATCTACAAACTATGGTATAGATAATGGAATTTACACAGCTTTTACTTTCTGACTGCCCATCACATTTCTTGAGGTGCTAAAATACCAGGATAGTACAAACACCCCCAAATGACCCCTTTTCGGAAAGTAGACACCCTAAGCTATCTGCTGAGAGGCATATTGAGTCCATGGAAGATTTATTTTTTTCCCACAAGTTTCTGGCAAATTACAAAAACATTTTTTTTTTTTTTACACAAAGTTGTCATTTAAATGATTTATTTCTCGCAGAAGCCATGGGTGTATGTGGAATTACACCCCAAAATACATTCTGCTACTTCTACTGAGTATGGGGATATTACATGTGTGAAACTTTTTGGGAGCATAGCCACATACAGGAGCCTGAAATCCAATGACCACTTTGAAAGCCTGAAGGTGCGTAACTTCATTACACTTCCTCACTGCCTATCACAGTTTCGAAGGCCCTGACATGCCAGGATAGCACCAAACCCCCCCAATGACCCCTTTCTGGAAAGTAGACACCCCAAAGAATTGAAAAAGAGGCACGGTGAGTATTTTGCAGATCTCATTTTTTCTCACAAGGTTTTGAAATATAAAAAAAGTAGAACAAATATGTTTTTGTTTTTTTCTTCATTTTCCAAAAACTTGTGGCAACAAATGAGATCTGCAAAATACTTACCATGCTTCTTATCAAATTCCTTGGGGTGTCTACTTTCCAAAAATGGGTCATTTGGGGGGATTAGGTATTATCCTGGTATTTCAGGGCCTCCGAAACTGTGAAAGATAGTCTGGAAGTGTAATGATGAAATAAAGCCCTTTAAAAGCCTGAATGTGCTTATTGGATTTTGGGGTCCTGTACTTGGCTAGACTGCCAAAACGTCTCTCACATGTGGTACCCCCCCATACTCGGGAGAAGTAGCAGAATGTATTTTGGGGAGTAATTCCACATATACCCATGGCATGTGTGAGCAGTAAATCATTTATGTGACAATTTTGTGTAAAAAAAAAACAATTTTTGTCATTTTCCAAAAACTTGTGTTAAAAAAATAAATTCTTTTATTGATTCAACATGCCTCTCAGCAAATAGTTTGGGGTGTATACTTTGCAAAAAGGGGTTGTTTTTGGGGGGTGGGGGCGTTTTATGCCCAGCATTAGAAGTTTATGCCACACATCATTCACTCTTCTAACCACCTGAAGATAAAGCCTTTTCTGACACTTTTTGTTCACATGAAAAAAAAATCTGTATTTTTGCTAGGAAATGAATTTAAACCCCCAAACATTATATATTTTTAAAGCAGACATCCTAGTTAATAAAATGGTGGGTACTACAGTTTGTTATGGCACATAGTACTCGCGCAGCAATTTTTCAAAAGCAATTTGTTTTAAACAAAATACACTTTTTTTACTTTTAATGCATAAAAACACAATATAATGGCCAATTATTTGGTAAAATGTAAAAAATAATGGTATGCCGAATAAACAGATACCAAACAGGACATGCTTTAAAACTGCACATGCCCCGTGCAATGGCGACAAAATACATACATTTTTAATATCCATAGGCAACGCTTTAAAAGCTACCATTTTAGATTTACAGATTACAGATTTAGATTACTGCCCTTGATCTGACGTTCACAGAGATACCTCACATGCATGGTGCAACCGCTGTTTACATACTGGTACAGGGTCAACGCTTGTGCACACAGGTGTGCGCGCATGGGAGGGGCGAGTTTTTTATTTTATTTTTTTTTTAAGTTGCTTTGATTTTTTTTTTTATTATTTTTACGCTGTACCTTTTTTTTTGATCACTTTAACTACATGCCGCCTAGCCACTGTACATATACGGCGGCAGGGCGGCACTCGCAGGCAAAACCACATTTTAAAACGTGTGTTTTGTAAACAAATAGGGTATTTGTCCCGCGGATCACCGCCACAGATGTCAGTCGCCGGGTCACAGCCGCTCCTTAGCGGCTATGTCCCGGCGATCGGCGGAAAACAGTGACAGACAGCACAGCTGCAGTAGCTGTGCTGTCTGTCACTTCCCTGTCAGCTCGAGGATGAGCTGATCGAGAAAGAACAGTTTCTCTTTCTCGATCAGCCTTGCCCTGCCCAGTACACACCCCCGCCCCCTAGTAAAACACTCCCCTCACTCCTATAACCCTTCCCTGCAAAATAAAGTTAACCCCTTCCTCCCCATTACCATTAGTACAGTGTCAGTTTTTTTTTTTTTTTGCACTGATCACTGTATTAGTGTTTTTGGGATGTCAGTGACCCCAAGTCAGTACCCCCCAATGTCAGAATGTCCGCCGCAGTCCCGCCACGAGTCGCTGG